GACAGCAAAAATGAACCAGGCAAAGATTTCCCTTCACTACCTGTCCAAGAGACAAAATGAGGGAAATTCTCATCTGAGACAGTTGTCTCCGGAACAGGTGTCCTGATTGGAAGATTTCCCCTCTATTCCTGTTCTGGGGACAACTCTACTATTTTGGATTTCTCATCACATTTTTTCTTCATGACGATGGTCACCAGTACAAATGGAGGTGTCAATCTACCCAGACAGAGGGACTAACTTTTCCCTACTTATAAGGTACCATAAACCTGAAATATGGGAACAAGGTCCAAATGTCATAGTTTTTAATGACAAAGGTTTTAAACAGACAAAAAGCCAAAGATATACAAATAAAAAAAAAGAAATACTGTGGGACATATATAATAGAAATTAAAAAAACACAGATAACAATACATCAAGAAATCCCTTTTGTTACATTTCTTTCTGGCATAAGATCCCACATGGGACATATATAATAGGGTCTGCTGTACTATGAAGCATAAGATCTTATTATAACTGAATAGTCCATAAATCAAAACCACACTTTTGCTAATGAAGAAGGTTGCTTTGACGTAGCCCCACCGCAAAACCAAATATAAATCCTAAACACTCGATATGAGATTCCAGATGTGGTATCCTGATATGATTTGACAGTGTCTGTATTCATAAAGTGAATAATTCTTCAAGCTAGCAATTGTAACTGCAATAAATAATTAGTCCCCATAACCCACAAGATCTGATTTTATATATATATAGAGATCTCTATATATAGAGAGATCTCTATATATATAGAGATTACATAATTGCAAAATCACAGTGTGTATACAGTGATCCCAGTGCATTGAGGAAGTACATCCTATGGGCATCTTCAATAAGTAAGTTTACAGTTTAGAATAGATGGATATGGTTATTAGGAACGGGATAGAACTTATGGAAATTCAGTATAGAAATACAGATTTATGTTAATGTTTTGACCATAGATACCCTTTAATAAAAACAGACCCTTCCCTACTGTATCTAAAACAGCAGTTTTGCCTATAGATATACTACAATAAAAACAAAACATAGACAATGTAATATGCAGAGGACATTTGAAGGTTATAAATGTCACATTCACCCATGGCTTGCCAAAAATTCACCAACAAACAACTCTAAACTCTTTCTTCTGTACAAAGTGTAAAAAAATAAGTTTTGGTTAGAGGTAGGGTAAATACTATGTAACTGTGCGTGATAAATAACATTTACTGTAGAAAATTAAAAAAAACCTGAAAGGGCACAAATGTTCAGCCTGCTGGAATGTTATAAATGTCCTGCACTAAAAAGGCCAACAAATGAACTTTCATTGAAGACTAGGTAGGAAAAAATATTGCAATTACTCAGTCACACGAGTATGGCTTAATTTTTAACTGGACTTAAAGGAACAGTCCACCCAAACTTAATATTTTAATTTTGGTGAATGCTGGAGAGGTGTTGAGGGTCTCATATCTCTCGTGGACCCTGTTGGTAAAAGCTTGATGCTGAGTTCCTGGGTCTGCACACCTACTGTGTCCATTATGAGGGATTCCCACCATCTCCGTGCTGAGTTTCTAGCTCTGCACACCTGCTGTGCCCATTATGAGGGGTTACCACCGTCCTTGTGCTGAGTTCAAGGTCCACACTCCTGCTGTGCCCATTATTGGGGGTTCTGCCATTCCTGTGCTGATTTCCTGGGTCAGCACATATGCTGGGCCCATTATGAGGAATTCCCACCATCCCTGTGCTGAGTTCCTTGGTCTGCACACCTGCTGTGTCCATAATGAGGGCTCCCGCCATCCTTGTGCTGAGTTTACGGGTCTGTATACCTGCTGTGCCCATTCTAAGGGACTCTCGCCATCCCTGTGCTGAGTTTTTAGGTCTGCACACCTGCTGTGCCCATTTCAAGGGGTTCCTACCATCTCTGTTCTGAGTTCCTGAGTCTGCACACCTGCTGGTTCCATTATGAGGGGTTCCCACCATCCCTACAGTGTTGTTTATTAATTTTATAATATGTAGAATGTAACAGGAGGCACTTGAACACCCAAAGGTGAGTGAGAACATCCAAAACTCCCAGATGGACAGGAATTATGGCAAGAAGATTTCATAGCTGGAGTACCCAAGACATATAGGAAGCCAGGGGATGGCTCATTCCACCTATAGGTTTAATATCACTTTAGGGTGAACTGACCCTTTAAAAGTGGTCTAAAAGCAGTCTGTCTGTTCTCATCAGCATATGACCTACTCTCCCGCGTTTCCTTTGGCCTGGGATTTTTCTGTTAGGTAATCACAGACAGTGTGGGGGGAGCTGTGTGCCAGTTTTCTCTGGTATAATCTCTGGGGTGCTGACTCTGTGATGCCAGCTCCTCAATGATGCTGACTGAGGGTGGGTTGGAGTAGAATGCAGATTCAGTGCTGAGACTTACTGTATGCTGCTGGCTGCAGAGAGAATTCACAGAAATAGCTGAGAGGCTTCCTTAATTCCAACATTCCTGATCTGCTGAGTGCAGTGATGCATCCATACTACAAGATTAATAGTGCAATTTGTGACTGTCGCAGAAGCAGTGGTTAACTTAACCGATATAAGGGGTCTCCAGTGTGGCCCCTCACATCACTAAAAGACTGCACATAATATTTTTTTATCAAATGTAATGCTACAGAAAGCATTCAGAGACTGCAGACATTCAAAATGGTTGGTTAGAAAATGGATCGTTAGAGACCAAGGGCATGCTACAAAAGATGGTCTGAAACTATGGGTATACTATAAAAGATGGTCAGAGACCAAGGGAATGCTACAAGAGATGGTCAGAGACCAAGGGAATGCTACAAGAGATGGACAGAGACCAAGGGAATGCTACAAGAGATGGTCAGAGCCTAAGGACATGCTACAAGAGGTGGTCAGAGACTGCAAACATGCTATATGAGTGGTTGGAGACTGGGGCATGCTTCAGGAAAGTCATAGACATGGATACATGTTATATGAGACTGCCAGAGATTACTATTATTCAGTAGAGCACTGACTGGCAGCTATAGGGGTCACAGTACCACGGTGAGCGCAGGGCATGGTGACAGCACGTAAGGTGACAGTTGAAAAGTGTCTAGATGAGGAGCTGCTCTTCTGATTGATGAAAGGAGCTGAGAGGTGTCATTTATTCATTAGAATCTGAGTTACAGAAATTAGATTTAATTACAGAGCAGGACGCAGCTGGGAGGACGGAGGACATGGACAAAGTGAGCTCACACTGCCCTGCGCACTATTATTACGCTAATGGTACTTCGTCACCCTGTGACCTCTCTAACCCCCGAGGGGACATGCAGTCCAGACCCACACGCTGGGCTCTCAGCATCTACCCCTTCCCTGCGTCCCTTTTCCTGAACAATTAGTTAGTGCTTGTCATCACTATGACTTTGCAGTGCGTAGTTTCGGGTTCGATTCCCAGCAGTGCACTGGACTGGAGTATGCAACGCAAATACATACTGGCAGGTTCTATACAGAATGGTGGAATATGTCAGGGTTATATAATATACAGTCATTGATGGTTACAGGAAGCAATTGATTTCAGTTATTTTTTCCAAGGGCTGTGCTACCACATGTTAATTGAGGGTGCCAATAATTTTGTCCAGTCTATTTTTGGAGTTTTCTGTGGAATGTGTCAGATTTGGCTTTTTTTTCTCCACTTTTTCATGTCAAACCAATACAAACAAAAGAAATAAACATGAGAATGCTTAAACATTTGTCATTGCAACAATTTTCTGCGCGAAGTGGTGCATTATGTGACAGAAATGCAAGGGTGCCAATATTTTTGGCCATGACTGTATAAGAATAATAGCTGCAGAGTCCCCAAGTAGTACAGGAGAGGAGATTTAGACAGAGGAAGGGGTAAAGTCATCAAGTAATAAAGAGTATTTCAGGAGAGGAGAATTAGATGGAGGAAAGAGCAGAGTCCTCCAGCAGTGCAGAGTATTTCAGGAGAGGAGAGTTAGAGGAAGGAGCAGAGTCCTCCAGCAGTGCAGAGTATTTCAGGAGAGGAGAGTTAGAGGAAGGAGCAGAGTCCTCCAGCAGTGCAGAGTATTTCAGGAGAGGAGAGTTAGAGGAAGGAGCAGAGTCCTCCAGCAGTGCAGAGTATTTCAGGAGAGGAGAGTTAGAGGAAGGAGCAGAGTCCTCCAGCAGTGCAGAGTATTTCAGGAGAGGAGAGTTAGAGGAAGGAGCAGAGTCCTCCAGCAGTGCAGAGTATTTCAGGAGAGGAGAGTTAGAGGAAGGAGCAGAGTCCTCCAGCAGTGCAGAGTATTTCAGGAGAGGAGAGTTAGAGGAAGGAGCAGAGTCCTCCAGCAGTGCAGAGTATTTCAGGAGAGGAGAGTTAGAGGAAGGAGCAGAGTCCTCCAGCAGTGCAGAGTATTTCAGGAGAGGAGAGTTAGAGGAAGGAGCAGAGTCCTCCAGCAGTGCAGAGTATTTCAGGAGAGGAGAGTTAGAGGAAGGAGCAGAGTCCTCCAGCAGTGCAGAGTATTTCAGGAGAGGAGAGTTAGAGGAAGGAGCAGAGTCCTCCAGCAGTGCAGAGTATTTCAGGAGAGGAGAGTTAGAGGAAGGAGCAGAGTCCTCCAGCAGTGCAGAGTATTTCAGGAGAGGAGAGTTAGAGGAAGGAGCAGAGTCCTCCAGCAGTGCAGAGTATTTCAGGAGAGGAGAGTTAGAGGAAGGAGCAGAGTCCTCCAGCAGTGCAGAGTATTTCAGGAGAGGAGAGTTAGAGGAAGGAGCAGAGTCCTCCAGCAGTGCAGAGTATTTCAGGAGAGGAGAGTTAGAGGAAGGAGCAGAGTCCTCCAGCAGTGCAGAGTATTTTTTTCTTTTCAAATAATTTTATTGAGTTTTTAACATTGATACAAAAGTATGTAGCATTTACAGAAAAGTGTTAATATTAATACAGATCAGCAATAAGTTCTGGTTGAATGAAAAATATTGATGTATGTGGTATTTCAAAGAATTATTATATCTTTTTCAGGAATGAGACGGTTTTGCACCAGTTTTGTTGCCCTGTTGCTGATGCAGAGCAGAAACCTTCTCCACCCAGGTAAGACCACCATTTTAATAGAGGGGGAATGGACTGTGGAAAGGTGGGCTTTGGGATTTGTTCAGGATGTTACATTCTTATGGGTAATCCGGGCCTCTTACTATTTTTGCATTTGTGATAAATACGCTGTCTGCAGTTTCTGCCCATCGCTCTATTTCCCTCCATTATAAGAATTATCTGTATAAAATAATTTGCTGCAGTTGTTATCCGTATCTGTTATATTTCACAGGTGCCCACAGATATCAGCATATCTTAGATTCCATCTGTCAGTTTACCACTGTGTGTTGAGAAATGTATTTTGCCAAAGCATTGTAGCACATTAATATCAATCAGCCTTGTTGTGCATCCCTTATTTTGATGCTACCACACCAGCTGTGTACCTTGACTGCATTGTACAATACAAAAGGGCTTAGGCAAGCTGTTATGCAATAAAAATGTGTGAGATAAAACCAAGCATCCATTGTTATATTTTAGTGCTGAAGATAATGGAGACAAAGGTGAGGAGGAGACAGTGTAGTAGGTGACAGAGGCAGTGAAGACATGGAGAGAGTACAGGAGGTGGGGGCAAGAGATGTGGGAAAAGTAATGGAGGTGAGAGAACAGAGGGGACATAGAGAGAATACAGAGAGGGGGGAAGGAGACAGAGGACATGTGGAAAGAGTGCTGGAGGTGGAAGAAGCAGAGGAGACATGTAGTGAGTACAGGAGGTGAGGGAAGGAGACAGAGGAGAGGTGGAAAGAGTGATGGAGGCAGGGATTCAGAGAAGGCACAGAGAGAGGGTAGGAGATACAGGGCACCAGAGTGAGATGGAGAAAGTGCAGGAGGTAAGAGAGATGAAGTAGAAATAGTGGGATTGCAGAAGGTGGGGGAGCAGAAGAGGGATAGAGAGAGTGTAGGAGGTAAGAGAGATAGAAGATCAGTGAATAGAGTGCAGAAAGTGGTGGGGACAGAGAAGAGAGAAGAGAAGAAAGAGTGCAGAAGGTGGAAGAGACATAGAAGAGAAGACAAGAGTGCAGGAGGTGGAGGAGGCAGAGAATCGAAGAAAAGAATTCTGGAGGTTGAGGAGACAGAGAAGAGAAGAAAACAGTGCAGGAGGTGGGGAAGACAAAAGAAATATGAGTATACTTTGATAGGTTGGGAAGGGAAGAAAGAAATTAGTTGCAGGAGGTGGTGGAGGCAGAGTAGTGATGGAGAGAATGAAGGAATGCAGAAGATGAAGGAAACAGAGGAGGAACAGGGAGAGTGCAAGAGGCGTAGGAGGCAGAGGAGAGATACAAAAAGTGCAGGAAGTCGGAGAGACATAGGAGAGATGGAGAGAGTGCAGGAGGGGGGAGAGACAGAGGAGGAATAGAGAACACAGGAGAAGGAAAAGGCAGGAGAGGGATGCAGAGAGTGCAGGAAATGGGAAAGACATGGGACAGATTAAGAGGGTGTATGAGGTGGGAGAGACAGAGGAGAAATGGAGAGAGTGTAAGATATGAGAGAGACAGAGGAGGAATAGATAGAGTGCTGGAGGTGGGAGAGGCAAAGAAGAGATGGAGAAAGTGTATAAGGTGAGAGAGACAGTGGAAGAATGCAGAAGGTACTGAAGGTGGGGGAGGCACAGGAGAGATGCAGAGAGTGCAGGAGGTGGGATAGGTAGAAGTACCATAGAAAGAGTGCATGAGTTGTGAGAGACAGAGGAAGAATAGAGAGAGTGCAGGAGGTAGGATAGGTAAGAGGGAGATGGAAGAGAGTGCATGAGGTAGAAGAGACAGAGGAAGAATCGAGTGAGTGCAGGAGGGGGAATAGGTAAGAGAGAAATTGACAGAGTGCATGAGGTGGAAGAGACAGAGGAAGAATAGAGAGAGTGCAGGAGGTGGGATAGGTAAGAGAGAGATGGAGGGAGTGCATGAGGTGGAAGAGAGAGAGACAGAGAAAAAATAGAGTAAGTGCAGGAAGTGGGATAGGTAAGAGAGAGATGGAGAGAGTGCATGAGGTGGAAGAGACAGAGGAAGAATAGAGAGAGTGCAGGAGGTGGGATAAGTAAGAGAGAGATGGAGGGAGTGCATGAGGTGGAAGAGAAAGACAGAGGAAGAATAGAGTGAGTGCAGGAGGTGGGATAGGTAAGAGAGAGATAGAGAGAGTGCATGAGGTGGAAGAGACAGAGGAAGAATAGAGTGAGTGCAGGAGGTGGGATAGGTAAGAGAGAGATAGAGAGAGTGCATGAGGTGGAAGAGACAGAGGAAGAATAGAGTGAGTGCAGGAGGTGGGATTGGTAAGAGAGAGATGGACAGAGTGCATGAGGTGGAAGAGACAGAGGAAGAATAGAGTGAGTGCAGGAGGTGGGATAGGTAAGAGAGAGATGGAGGGAGTGCATGATGTGGAAGAGAGAGACAGAAGAAGAATAGAGAGAGTGCAGGAGGTGGGATAGGTAAGAGAGAGATGGAGGGAGTGCATGAGGTGGAAGAGACAGAAAAGAGATGGAGACAGTGCAGGAGATGGGAGAGACCGAAAAGAGACGGAGAGACTGTAGAGGGTGGGAGAGGCAGAAAAGAGATGGAGAAAGTGCAGGAGGTGGGAGAGACAGAGGAGAGATGGAGAGACTGTGGGGGGTGGGAGAGGCAGAAAAGAGATGGAGAAAGTGCAGGAGGTGGGAGAGACAGACTAGAGATGGAGAGACTGTAGGGGGTGGGAGAGGCAAAAAAGAGATGGAGAGACTGTAGGAGGTGGGAGAGGCAGAAAAGGGATTGAGAGAGTGCAGGAGGTGGGGAGACAGTACAACAATGGAGGGGGTTATAGGAAATAAACCTTTCATCACTGTCCTCATTTTTTGCTGTAATCCTCATAGTTCTTGCATACCATTTAGAGGTTAATCATTCACTGTTCCTTTAGATTTCCATGGCATGAAATCAAACTTGATTGATTGATTTTGCTGCTATATCATGTAATTAACCTGGAAAAAGCTTCAGTAAGGAAGCATCAAGCATCCTCTGGAGAGTTCCTCACAAACACCTGGTGGGAAGAGTGCTCAGTTTTACATTTCATCAGAGATGGCGGTAATGGGTGAGATCAAGAAGAAGGGAACGCTAAGAGAAAGGACAGGATTAGGGGTGTTTGAGGATTATTTAAAGGAGAACTCCATTATGCACAATTTTTTTACCCAATGCCAATCTCTAGCTTTGAGAGTAACATGATTAAACAGCTAACAATGGAACAATCAATCAAACTGATTATATGGCCCCTACCAAGTTCTTAGTCCTATCTGATCAATATCAGGACAACCTAAATCTGGCCATACATGAGGGAATTTGAGAGCGAAATCAATCTTTCAATCCAGTTTTTGTCGACACTGTACAGTAATTGAAGACATAAATGGAGATAGAAAAGAGATGGGATTAAATTGCCCTGATCAAACGTGACAAATTGCTTAGAACAATATTGCCATCATTTTTTCCACTTTAAACTCTTTTCATTTCAATGTCTCAATAACCTTCCTATTTTCAACTTCACAGTCGACTGAATTTAGGTGGCTGGTCAAATTTGTGGCAGTAATTTTTTTTCTGGTGATTACCTGCAAATGGTTTTTGTGATTCCTAGTGGCTTGAAAGTGGTTAAAATTGACTGAAAATTGCCACTTGTATGGCTAGTTTTAGGCTTAAATCCAGGCTCAGTCTTTTTCTTTAAATGTCCGCAAGAAGGAATAAAAAAACGAAAAGCAGCCTGACTACAATACTCACCTCCTTTTCATCTCTGTGCTACACAGTGCCTCTTCTCCACCACAAGATGCCCTGAGCTTGCTGGGTTAAATGATGCCCAGTATCATTCAGCTCAGAATACTGAGTAGATACTGTGAGTGCAGTGGTTCATGGACTGCGCTCTGAGGGAACGTCACTTCAGCATCTTGCAGTCACAGTGTAGTGATTCACAGAGGTGTTCCTTGTATCACTGCTAAAGAAGGTGGCTTGTGACAAGCCTGTAGAAATCTGCAAGTGGTAGATATAAAAAATAAATAAAAATGAATGCAAGGGAAATTCGGGGGGTTAGGGGGGAGCTAAGTGGCGAAGTGGTAGTTTGGAGTTGGTCTTTAAGTGCCGTCACCCATGGCGATCGTCTCTAAATCTGATGACTGCTGTAAACTGATGTAGATTTAAATTTGATCACTTGCATGTTATCATTTTTACTGCCTTATTCAGTGCCTTGCTTTAAAATTGCAGTATATCGGCACATTTCATGACTCATAATCATCCATTCTGCTTGCACTCATCCCTGACGCGCTTTATATTTAATTTCCAGTAAGCCGAGAATTTATTTTTTCTCAAAACAATGCAATTTTTTTTCCTCCAGTCTATTCCCCTAAGACCATTTGCTGGCTGCGCCACGTACATTGGTATGCAGAATTTGTGTACATTGTTCCACCTAATTGATTTAAACCCTGCTTCAGATTCATTTTGGCCGCTCGCTTTTCATTTATGAAAAAAATCATAAAGACAATGACTTGTTTTCTGTTCCTCACGGGGGTTGTATATCGTCTGCCAAACGCCAGCTGCTGAAGATTTGCGATGCCTCTGAAAGGGGACCTCCAGTTAAAATTAAAATTAATATTTTATTTTGTTGCGCTAGGAAGGATGAACAGGTCAGAAATGACAATCTTTGTTGCAGAGGTGCCATCTATATTTTACAGGGGGTGCAAGCTGACCGTTAATGGCTTTGGTTGTCAAAGCTCTTGATATTTGATGAGCAGCCAATCAGGTCTGCCCCCCCTAAGTGATGTGTGATAATAAGGCACTCATAATCAGATGATCTGTAAAGCACATTCAACCAATTGAAAAGATCCCAGTTCAATTGGTTGATCTGTGTCACCCCAAATGTGCTTTACAGATCATCTGATTATGAGTGTCATCATCTGATTATCATTCAGTGTCAGTCTGTAGCTTCTAACACCAGAAAAATACTCCCCTGTATTAAAAGAAATACACAGCCTGATGTACTGTATATAGGCTCGCTTCACACCTATGAGT